CGTCAGCTGCTCCTATTTTCTGCTGTCGCTTTTGGCGCTCGGCCATCCAGAAACAAACCACTTCGATGACTCCTAATAGTTATCGCCAGATGTACTAATACACAACAAATCACGGTCCGGGAGAGGGGGAGAGCAAATGAGTTCCTATTTCGTGAATCCCACTTTCCCGGGGAGCCTGCCCGGGGGCCAGGACTCTTTCCTCGGGCAGATCCCCCTTTACCCGGCGGGCTATGATGCTCTCAGGCATTTTCCGGCTTCGTACGGGGCAAGCAGCCTGCAGGACAAGACTTACACCTCACCTTGTTTCTACCAACAGTCCAACACCGTCATTGCTTGCAATCGGGCTTCCTATGAGTACGGAGCCTCTTGTTTTTATTCGGACAAGGAAATTAGTAGCGCCTCTCCCTCCGGCAGTGGCAAACAGAGGGGGCCCGGGGACTACCTGCACTTTTCTCCCGATCAACAGTACAAATCCAGCGGCGTCCAAGCCAAAATTGTAAATGACGAAGGCACCGACCGGAAGTACACGAGCCCTGTTTACCCCTGGATGCAGCGGATGAACTCCTGTGCTGGTAAGAGACATTTCAATACAATAAAAGGGGGAGTGGGGGGGGGGAGAAGGGAAGAGGAAGGAAAAGTTTCTTTCCCCAAGATTTTTTTTGTTGTTGTTTTGTTCTAAGATAAAGTCCAGACTGCTGGAAAAACCTAGTTCCTGCGGGGCAATGTGTAACATGAAACCTTCCCAGGTTATTTTAGACTTGGCACGTTGGTACCCTGGGAACGGTGGCCAAGAACCCAGCTTGTGGGTTCGCTGGTGAAAGTTACCGGGGAATCCTTAGGAAGCAGGCAAAAAGAAAAAAATAAAAAACCATACCCAAGAGCTTAAAAATAAAAATAAATAGTTTTACCATTCTCCTAAAGCCACCCCAAAGCCTCTGCTCCGCTTCTGCATTGTCAGAGAGTGATGCGGGGAATATGCCCTCTGTACTGAGGATCCAATGCGTTTGGGCACATTCCGCCTCGCCCCCCTCCCCCAGCTCATTAGCCTGTAAGTATTGGATATTGAGAGCACGTTTCTGGGGCCGTGGGCGCACTTCCATGGCATTTTCTCTGACTTACAAGTGAACTTCACATAATTGAACTACTCTACCCAGGAGTGGTGCTGTGGGGGAGAGTTTTGTTGGGATGGCACTTATTTTTAACAATCCCATATCAAGATGTTTATTCCGAGTGTTTGCTAATGACTCCGCTCTTCTCCCCTCCTTCCGAGTTGATGTTTGCTGGACTGTGGGTCGCATTTCTCTTTTGGAAAGTTAAACTTTTAGCAAGACCATTCTGATGCTGCTTTGCAGTCAAGGGTAATAAATTCCGGAGCAAATGGCAAAGGCTCTTCTATGATCTTTAGCTGATGTCTATAATCACACTTAAATCACAGACCCTCCGTAGTCGCAGCCATGGCAATAGAGTGTGTTTGTGTAAACACACTCGCACAGGCGTGCACACGCACACGCGTGCAGCTCCCCGCATCGCACACGTGTGCGTGTGTCCGTGAGTGTGTGCGCACATAGGCGCCCGGCACGCAGAGGGTAGACACTGCTCAGCGATTCGCGCGGCTGCTACCTACTCCACTTTCCCCGGATCCACCGTAAAGCCTCTTTGTATCCCAGTTACCCCACTACCGTAAGCACGCTGCATATCCGCATTTACAGTTGGCCAAGCAGGAGAAAAGGAAAAAAGAGACAGAAAGGGGAAAAAAAAAAAAAGAAAAGAAAAGAAAAGAAAAGAAAAAGGCAAGCCTCCAGGAAACCAGAGCGGTCCCCCCCTTCCCCCACCCCGTGATTGTGCCTGCAAAAAGAAGGCAGAAATTACTGGTCTGAAATCACTGGGCCCTGTCCAATGCGATCGTTTTGTCTTTACTTCTACAGGTACAGTATATGGAACTCATGGGAGACGAGGGAGGCAAACTTACACCAGATACCAAACGCTAGAGTTAGAGAAAGAATTTCATTTTAACAGATACTTAACCCGAAGACGACGTATTGAGATTGCAAACGCTCTCTGCCTTACTGAACGCCAGATTAAAATATGGTTTCAAAACAGGCGGATGAAATGGAAAAAGGAAAACAAATTCATAAATTCCACACAGCCCAGCAGCGAAGAAACAGACGAAAAGTCAGGGGAGTAGAACCACGTTTAATAAAAGCTACCAGGCCTTTCCTTAGCGCTTACTATTACTATTATTATATACCTTGTGTTCCTTCTGCTACTAAAATCCTATAGGTTTGTCACAGTCTATTAATTCCCCAAAGGCTTGGTTAAAAGATGTACATTTGCAATCATCTGTGACTTTTTTTAAATATATGTGGAAGTCCTATCTTTCGAGCTGCAGGCATGCATGTATATAACCACCTTTCCAATGCATAGATGGCGTTGCTTTAAGTATTAGAGGAATGGCCCAGATTTTTAAATATTTGGGGTGAACGTCTGTGTGTGGCTGAGTGTCCCTGGCATGCCTGGGTGAGAAGAGATAAGCGAGTGATTTTAAAAATGTCTTTATTTATTTTATATTAGAAACATTCATATTGTAGAGATATGAGAGATTTTAGAAAATCTTGGGGTTGTGTTTTTGCTGACTCCCGCTATGTCGGGCTGTCTCGTTACGCTGTGTTTAGGAGCTTACGGTCTGCAGGGGAGTAAAAAAAAAAAGTTTTACGCATCTGAAAGATATATAAAATAGCGAAAAAGAAGCAAAATTCTTTTTAAAAAATCGTTGTATAAAACCATGGGGTTGCAGTTAAAGTGAGGATGAATTGCAGTGAGATTTTTTTTTTTAAAACGACACTAACCTGCCTAATGTGCACTATTAGTATTAAAGTAAAAACTCGGCATTAAAGTTCAGGGGAAGCGAGGAAAGAGGTTTTGAAGCAGGCTAATTTCTGTGGTTGCCGTTAAGCTTATGCTGAGGTTTCGGTGAGCTCAGCTCTACACTGAAGAGGCTTTGAATTATGGACTACATTTCTTGGGGCTTCGGGGGCTTGGGTCGATCTTTCTTTTCTTTTCTTTTCTTTTCTTTTCTTTTCTTTTCTTTTCTTTTCTTTTCTTTTCTTTTCTTTTCTTTTCTTTTCTTTTCTTTTCTTTTCTTTTTTCTCTCCTTCTTTCTTGCTTTTATTTTTCTTTCTCTTTTTTTTTAAATTTTATTTTATTAGAAGAAAAGTATCTGTCATTAACTAGGGGATCTTCTTCCCCACTTTTGTGGTATCTTAATTCACATTCTCATTTCTCAGCACTGGAAAAAATAAATAGATACTATAAAGAAAAGTAGCTGCCATATAATGCTTCCACTTAGAGTTCTGTAGAAGTAAAATAAGCGCAGCGAAAATAGTAATTAATATATACGTTTTATGTCTCTATATTATATTGTGTGTGCGTGAGTGTGCGTGTGAAGCTGTGTACAAATGCACTTGTATACAGATCGAGGCTCTTTTGTCTGGAAGGCAGCGCATTTTGGTCTACCACTCTAAATATTTTAAAAGCCAAATCTGGAAAATACTAGTGCAAAATGGCTACCGCCGCATTTAGAGATTTTTTTTTTTTTTCCCCGAGAGGCGGAAAAAATAACGGCGGCCGTAAAGCCGCCTGGAATTTGACCCCCTAGTTGGAAAAACGCTGCACGATATTTATCTTTCATAGGTACCTGCCATTTCACACCGGCAGGACCCGAATGTTTCCCGAAATCTCCGGCACGGGAAAAAGCGGGGGAGGGGAGGGAAGAAAGAATAATGATTTAAAATATATCTATGTAGAAGGCACATAAGCGTTGTCAGCACCCGAGGATGGATCTTGCAGGATTTGTGTAAATAAGCCTCGCAGGGAGGAGAAAGCAGGCACAAAGCGGAGCGC